GTTATTGATGAGCACTTTGTAAAACCAGTGAATAGTAATTTGAATACATAAATCCACTGAAATGAAAAACTGAACACAACAATAAGGATGTTAAGGCAAGAACAAGTAATTTTTAGAGAAACACCAGTCTGCTTAACCAAGGTCACAATTACCATTTTCTGGAAATATTCTGTCACTTAATGGAAACTTCCATTCTTGAAGCTTCTAGTGTCATAATCAAAACTTTATAAAACTCAAATTCAGGTAAACATGTTTACATATAATTTTCTGAATATTAAATCTACTGTCATAGAGAAAGTTTTAGTTAACTATTTTGTTGTTTATAAAGTAAATGTTCCTGATCAGGTATACAGTGAACTTGATCTTGGACAAGTTCAAGTACAAAATATAGACTATACATAATGTATAAATCATTAAGAAATGCTAAACAGATAATATAAATTAAGAAATATACATAAAACAGTCCACACTGATCACTAATAAGCCTTTTCCACTATTCTCTATATTCAGCATGAGCTTGCTGAATTTTGCTATCTGGATTGTATATAGTATTGGCTAGACTATCAGGTTTGCTATCTTCATGTATGTCAGTTGTGATATGGTCACATTTTGTTTTCTTAATTTGATATTAATTACTCTGGATCTTTTGCAGCACACCTTGCTGCAAACGTGTAGCAGCATGTACATTGTAAATGATAGCTTATAACGTTTGTTATTTGAAAAAAAAAACCAATTTGATCTTGTGACAGCCATATAGTTCTTCATTGTATGCTTATAGGTTACTGCATTTGTATGGGATAATATGAACAAGGTTTTGGGATTGTTATACTGTACTACCTTGGGTGTGCAGTATATCCATCTAACAAAACGAGTCCATATTTTCCCGTACAAATGCAGTAACCTTTTTATTAGATGCTCATTTTCTTATTCTTCCCAATGCTTAAGTATGTAAACAAAAATAAACTACAATTATAATAAACAAAGTAACAGAATGTATGGTGTTTTCCAAACTAAATATACAAGCCTGGCTGCATTATTACACAACATTATTATTGCGCACTAAACTCTGCCCAAATTTGAAGTTGGTCGTGTGCTAAACGTAAGTTTGTAAAAAAAAAAAAAACGTTTGGTCTACTTAGAATTGAAATTTGGAGCATTATTGTTAATGAAATACGCATTGCAACAACTTTTCCATTTGATCTGGAATGAATATGTTTTGGTATTTTTGTCAGTTTGATGCAATTTTGATATTATGGTCTGGATTTATGTACATGATTCCAACAGCATCTGTCAATTTAATCGCATTGAAGTGTGTTGACATCAGCATGCATGTTTCTGTTCTGTCATTGAATGATTCAGATCATAATGTGTGAAAATTATGAAGCCTTTTTATTGCAATTATCGAAAAGATGCTGTGGAATTTAATGTTTATTTCATTTTGAATGTGGTAAGGAGGATGTAACTGCACTTTTAATATGCTTGAAATTAGAGTACAATTTTGAAATATGTAATCAACCTTGAGAATCTATGACCTAGCTCATGTAATTTGGATTTGCTGAACTACGAAGGTATATTTTGAGGAAATTCAAAATGTAAAATAGTAAGTATATTTTTGTCTTTATTTTTTAGCAGCTAAAGAAGACAGTTTATGTCTTATATCTTGCATGTTATTGTCAGGACCCAGTCTGGCGTCTATAGCTAGCCTAAATCTGAAACATTGTATCAAAAAAGTTAATGCGGTTGTGCCAAAGCTAAAGGATATGTTGCAGTCCATGAAACATCTGCTTTATCCCAATTCATTCAGAAACAAAATTAATCAACAAAAACGTAGCGAGTCTACCACATGAGTACATTATTTGTTTACAAAGTATTTCATAATATACTGTTGGGCATGTGTCTTGTGCATGACTACAGTATGAAGGTATGCAATATCGGGAAATACTGAATGTTTCTGACAATGTAAAGTTAACGGAGAAAAAATGAGCATATAATAACTTCAATTATTTCATGGTCTGGCTTTGAATAATACTGTTGCTGTTCATCTTTTTACTAGAGTTTCAACTCTGGTCAAGGTCTTGCATAGCATTTTCTCCAGATCAATGAATTTTTTATTGTACCATTTATATGAGTGCCTTCTCCTATCATCATTTTAGAAACTTCATGGGCACAACATCATTTAAATAGAATTGTCATAGGTAACACAATTTCAGAAAGTTCTTGCCAATTTTGTTAAACTGCTTATTTTGTTTGAAGGCTGTGAGTGACTAGTGCTGGAAGGAGCAGTGAACTTGACAGAGGCATCATTTATTGTCCCCCCCCCTCATTTTTCCATGGTTTTACAGGACAGTAGTCCTATCTGAGCCTCTTTTGTACAACATATCCCAAACTGTATGGACATGGGCCAAAGTCAACATCTCTGAAGTTCTCCCATGTAGGTTGATAATGCAGAATAAATAAATATTGCAAATCATACATCCCCAATCACAAGTGAAAATTATCCAACAAATACTCAACTATAAACTAAATAAGTAGCACCTATACTCTTCATTTTTACATCATGCAAACCAGATTACAAAAAGAAAATGATATTTATTGGCGTTAATAGATGGAATATACATGTGCAAATAAAACCTATACCTTGTATATACATGTAAAATCTTAGTTTTTTGCTGTCCATTACTGAATGGGAGCTATTTTCAGTATAATGATTTATATGATGCATTTTTACTCACATTTGACACATTTCTGAAGTGTACAAATTAATGTTGTGCCAAAAAGATGGTTTAAATAGGGACAGTAATGAAAATACTTTTAAATCTGAAAATATTTTTGAAAAATTTATTAATAATACATCATTGCAAAGATATTGATGTTCACTGATTCTTCTTGTAATATAATTCAGTCCAGTATGTAGAGTTGTATTTCATTGGCAGATTATTCAGTGTGAAATTTGCAAAACTTAAGAAACAAATAAAATTCTATGCTTTATTTGCAGCGGATGGCAAAATTTGGTGTTTAAAAGTATCATCAGATGAATTGGAGTTCAAATGTTTGATTTAGATATGAAATCTATCCATGCCGTTCATTACAGAGGTTGTCTACTGCAGAGGTTTTGTTTTGCTGTATTTGAAAAATTAATAATTAATAATGTGGACTTAGTATAGCATCTAATCTTTTAGAATCACTTGACACTTTACAATATTAGATAAGATATAAAACATATATAATGACTAGATTACAAAAACAATCACCATGAAATTTTAAAACAAAAACATGCTGACTATAATTTAGAAAGTAAACATTCTTAAGTCTTTAAGTCTGTTCTTGTATTCAAAATAGGTGAGTGTTACAAGCATTCTTGAGAGAGACCAAGGTATTCTTGTGTGTAAGGTCTATGGTCAATTCATTCCATGTAGCTGGGACCTTTTATACAAAAGAGCTATGAGAATGCAAATTTCTTATGAAAATTGTATGTTCTAGATAAGATGATGTTATTGTACACATGGGTGAGGTCAAATAGGTACATTGAACTAGAGCCATTCAATGAAATGTAGCATAGTGAACTAATTTTTTTGATTGGTTCTGGATCAAATGGGTAGACAGTGAAGGCCAAAGAGCAGGGTGGGGGTGAGGTGTGCTCAGTTCTTTGTACTATAATGATAATCCAAGTGGCTGTGTTTTGAACTTGAAGTTTTTGTAGTAGATACGGAGAAGAACCAGACAGAACTGAATTACAGTAGACCACCCTTGAAAGTACTAAGGAACTTACAAGTGTGGTATAAAAGAAAATTGTGAATGGAGCTGATGCAACTTGATCATTACATGTTACTGTAATGAGAGTGTGCCTTCAAGAGTGACACCTAAATTGGTACTTAAAGTTTGTATTTAATGTTCACATTGCTGGCACATAGTGTTTGTGGTAATGAATGTGAATGAGGTCTTTGCATTTTGATCAGAAAGGTTTCAGTTTTGTCATCATTCAGATACAGCTTCTTACTTCTCATCCTTGATTCCACATCGTAAAGGCACCTCACTGCAAACTCAGCTAGGCAACTAGATTTGTATATTTGAATGTCGTTAAGGTTTCAATTCATGAGACTCCAGATGTTGATCTATGACACTTGAGAGTGGCTAAGTGTATAGAAAAGAATTTGGTCAAGAACCGAGCCTTGTAGATCAACTATTCTCAGAAGGGCAGTTTCACTAATATGGCAAGGGCAATATGCAGATGGTGCATTTGCTATAAAGGACTATTAAATATTTGAATTCAGATAAGATACGAGTTAAACAACTTTTTCTGTTTTTAAATGATATGGGTGTTGATAGCATGAAGTTCTACATGGGATCTAGGATTGCTGCTGGGACCATGCTTCATCATTTCCATTCATGTGTTCTCTAAGTATCCTGGAGAAAATATGCTTATAAATTAACCTTACATTGGCTATTTATCATGTCCTGTTTGCACTTATTGATGGTGCATTATTTTCATGCACTTACTGTCATTATCACATGATGTTTCATAATTCTAAAATTTGAGTAGAAATTGTAAAGTGATAATTTTGTTGAACACTGCCATAGCAAAAAAAATAATTCCCTTCTTTTTGCTTTATTAGGTGTCTGATGTGAGACTGTTTGGGGAAGAAGATATTGTACAGGACTTATATATCCTGTTCTGTGAATGGCCAGAAGACCACACTCAAGTACTGATTTTTGGCCACAGGTTAGATGTTATTTAGTGAAGTTTAAAATCTGGTCCCATGAATTAAATGTTATATCATATAATGAGCTGTAACTTGTTAGCTTTCTGCTCTTTAGTTTTTTTCAAAAGCTTAATGTAGATTAGTTAAATACTCATATCTCCATCTAATACATGATATTGTTAGAAAATAAACTTTGTCACTTTTCAAATCCAACCATCCTAGATAATGGTAAGAAACTTTCCATTCGTTTATGTTTTTGATTTTATAGTCACATCCAGTATTCATAAATGCCAAACAACCGCTCCGGTGGCCTATTGGTTAGTGTGTCTGCCTCTGATGCGGGAGGTTGTGGGTTTGATCCCCAATCGAGTCATACCAAAGACTTACAAAATGATACTAACAGCTGCTCCATCTTGACACTGAGCATTAAAAGGTTAGTGTTAGGACTGGTCAGCCTAGTGTTAGGATAATGTGAGTGGGTGGGACATCATGTTATATGTCTGCGGCATGATGCCTCGGTGCTAGACATCACTATAAACTGCCACACTGCAAACATCATAGAGATATGACTGAAAAATTATTAAAGGTACGTTAAAAATCATAATCACATTACATCACATAAATGCCAATGATTATGCTTTTGGCATAATCATTACACTCTTTCACCTAATTGCACCATATGTTTGCCTGTTAATGGATTACACTTTTTGTTACATTAAAAAAATAAAGTAATCCAGCTTTAATCCTGCACTTATAAATTTGAAAATACTCTAAAAAAGAAGACTGCTTTGTAAAAATAGCATATCATCATAGACCTGCATGTACTGTCATTATTTTCTATTTAACATAGCTCATCATGTCACATTTCCAAGAAATCAGATGGATTTCTTCATTATGGAAACTGGTCTCACATATTTATTACATTTGATAAATGTGTTAGGTAGTCAACCAGTTTGCACTGTCAGTAAAGGATGCCAGATGTTAAGCAAAATGGGCTTATCAGTCAGTGTGACTCGAAATGATATATGACTGAAAAATATTATAGGAAAAGGATCTTTTTAAACTTCAAAACCAGAAAATTTGAAAAAAATACATCAACAGGGGTAACAAAACTGAGCTAACTAAAATGATTTATTACCAGTTCTTTACCATATGGAAATAGACAAATTAGAGGTGCTGGATTGTTATTTGACCTTGTTTTTCAGACATTCATAGGGACTTTTATTTTTCGTAACGGACTCGAGCAAAAAGTTGTAGGATTCGACCTCCCTGCTGTTGAGGCTTATATTGTTGCTTACAATTTACCTGTCATTCATGTATTATATAATAATATTATATAGTACATGTATGACAGATAAATTGTAAGCAACGACCTGAGCCCCATGGGCATATGGCAGAACATTGTGAAAAAGCTCACAGCTTGCAAAAGATATTAGTAAAATAAAGAGCACCCAGAAGATTTCAGCTCTGGAAAACTTTAAGCAGGGAGTATCTTGGCTTCCAAAAAGTTGTTGCCAAAAAATTGACCAACCTCAATTGCCAATTTTCAAAAAAAGTTGCCAGAACAAGTACTGAATATTTTTCTAAGTCTGATAATGTATTAAGCAATGAAAATTGAAAGAGATAGGATAGTTATTACTTTATTGACAACAAGCAATACAGCCATACAAAATAAATCAAGACTATTTTGTACTAGTTAAATGGTCTTTGCATCTCGCATCACCTTTAATAGATAGGTGTGACTTATAATTTAGTCATGCCTGGTTGGAGAAAAAAGATTTGAGGTCTTTTAAATGAGGTTAAGTAACAAGTCACATATTTTTGCAACAGCAAGTTACTGCATCAATGTTATTGGTTTAAAGTTGTTTTTATTTCCCAGTGAATAGCCTCATTCCTTTGGTAGTCTCAGCAAGACAGCTATCCAAAATTTAGACCAATTGACTGACTGTACATGTAGCATTGTATAGTGTTTTTGAAAGTGGTTTCTTTTGGTAGAGTTGACTTGTGAATAGTAGAAAAATGTAACTGAACAATATTGTGTGTGAAAAGCAATCTTTTTTTATTGGCAGAGGTTCCTTTACACCAGTATATGCCAGTTTTTACCAAATAGATTTTGATTCTGTAAAGGATTAAGATGAGCTGTCGGTATTCATGTATTGACAAATTATAAAATGTGTTTCAAGTTTTTAAAGTTAATTATCTCAGCATCAAATTCTCCGCTTAATCCATTCATGCAGTTAGAAGACAACTTATTCCATTCATACAGTTATAGTTTCATATCCCTCCAGACTTTGATCAGTGATTGTCTGCAAGAACACAGCACCAGAGGGAGAGTTGGCTAATCTCTTTGATGGATTGCAAAACTTTTGAAATTCAAGATAAAAACAACATAAATCAAAGCACTGTTTTTTCTGTTTCAAATTTTAATCATAGTCGTTTTCTGCTTCATTCCATTTGTGTAGAAGAATATGTAATCATGCAATCACCATTTTCATCAATATACTGGGTGCTATAGACTTTTTTTACAATACTGTTGGTGCCTTTATTTACTTGTGTTCAAAGCAAATTAATGACCAGTGGTGTGTAAGTGGGGGGTAGCTTAGTTTGGAGTTTTGCAGGTTTTTATTTATAGATAATTGTGAGTCACATGATTATTGTGAGTCACATGATCCAAATTTGATGTAAATATATTGTGTCTTTTTAGATACATATAATGATGTTCCCCTGCTAATTTTCTGAATTATAGACAAAATCAAATTCATGATGCAGTGTGTGACGAACTATACTGTTGTGTTGTGGACCTGCAATAATGTCCATTTTGAATGCAGCTTACATAAAGGTCAGAAATGCATGCATTCAGTTTTTGTACTCTAAAGTATTGATTACATGATAATTTTCTCCTGCTGTGTAAGTGATAAAGCATGTAGTGTTGAGATTGGTTGATTAGCACTGATAAAATGTGGTCTTGTACCAACTGTATAAGGTAGTGGTAATAGCAGAAATGCCGGATCATTTCTTGTGACATTTCTCTGACATTAAAAGTTGGTTCACATGTTACTTTGGACAGAAACTTATGCCTGACATAACCTGGTTATTGACTCAATAGGGATCAAGGTAAGCGGGGAAAAGTTAGCATAACAAAGAAGGAATTTTTGGAGATCACACCAAAATGCTTAACATGAGTTCTTGAGATAAGTGGGTTTGATCAGTAATTGTAATAAATGTAAATAATATATTTTATTTTTGCTTTGGGATTTTCATATAAGGCAGTGCTGACCATCAAACTGATTACTGCATGATCTTGGGCATCTCGCACATTGACCATGTAACCAACAAAGAAGTCCACAACAGAATCCAATGAAACATCAGATATCAGATCTTATGATGATCTCTTGACCACTGTAAAAGAAAAAGCGCAAACTGAAGTGGTACGGTCATGTCTCTAGATCATATGGATTGGCAAAAACAATCTTGCAAGACACAGTGCAAGGTGCAGAAGAGGCAGAAAGAAAATGAGGTGGAAAGACAACATTAAGGAGTGGACAGGCTTGAGATTTTGGAGATTCCCAAAGGGCATTAGAGAACAGGGAAAGATAGAGAGAATTGGTTGTAAAGTCAACTGTGGTGCTCCAAAGACCTCTTGGGTTAAGGGATTGATGACCATCAAAGTAGATTGAGCTAGTGTAGAAGTTTTCACTAATTTTTATCCTTTTTTTCACTAATTGTGAGTCTGGAAGGTTGGCAGATATGGGTAACATTCCTCTTTTGGTCATATAAGGTGGAGACCTATCTCCTCAACCTCCATATCAACATACAAAACAGACACCTTCTAGCTGCATCAGTAGCTTGGCTGAGAATTATCCCAGAAGTGGTCATGTCCTTCACATGAAATGGCCCTTCCATTGGTTGTCTTCATTTGGATTTACACACTTCAAGGATGATAGACCTTTTGGCGAAAAGGTGGCATCAGAAGCTACCCACTTTCATTTCCCTAGTTCAGGACATGACAGCTTTGGTCATGGAATGCACTGTTAGCCGTTTGGGAGAGATTGTGTGCCTCTGCCACCCCTCCTATAGTGCTAAAGTTACGAGTGAGAATGGCAAGATGATTCTGAATGCCCTCTTTACAAGCAATGTATCACCAATCTACTTTTCCTAATGATAATTCATCCAGGATTCACCAGGATTCAATCTGAATTAAATGCCCTCGTCAACATAATCGGCTGTTTACCAGGACAGCCTTACAATAATGAGATAATTCCAACCTTCATTTGTGGAGAGAATCTTGAGACTAACCAACTATATCGTCCATATGCTGCCTCTATCCCTCAACTGGTCAACTTTCTCACACTCTGTTCTTGGAGGAGAAACAGTTGGACACCAGTCACTACCAAAGGCCACCTCTCCATGATATTGGACATATTTTATCATCATGGCAACATGTTTGGATGGGACCTATCAGATCTTTTAGACAATATTGGTCTCTTTAACCAACATCCCTTTTTTTGTCTCCATAGTGGTCAAATCCGGGTCTTTAACATAGCTTGATTCAAACCCCTTTGAACTTCTTGCCTATGCATCACTAAATGTCACTATCAAACAGACCATATTTACTGATAGCTTTAGCTTCTACATGTAGGGTAAGAGTGTTGCATCTGTCTTTATGTTCACTTGAATTCCCTTTAGTTTGGATCAGAGGGGTTGATGGTTCTCATCTCACAGTACCATCAGGCTTCGTAGCCCAGAACTGGTTACCGTCTGTCAATAATCATTGCCAGGTTGAGAGCAGCTGCTATGTAGATCTTGTTTGTGTTCACAAGATCTGTGATCTCAGACACATTCCGACATCATGGCAAAATTGGGAATGATAATGATCTCACAGATCTGTTTTCGATCTCCAGTGACCAAAAATCCATGTGTGTGTGTGATTTGGATTTTTAATGTAGCTAGAACAATTTTTCAGTCATATTGCTATGATGTCTTCAGTGTGGCAGTTTATTGTAATGTCTAGCACTGGGGCATCATGCCACAGACATATAGCAAGAATTACTACCCATTGTTTAAAAAAAGTAGAGTGGATAAGATATTTTGCATCTTTAGTAGGGCCAGATTCACAATGTATTGAGCTAATATTCCTAACGTAATGTGATTGGTAAGAATTCTCAGGGGAATTTACATAAAAATTAGCTTTAAGAATTATTCAGGGTGAGTGAATTATGACATTCATTTGTTTTGCTGCCATTATGTTACAGAGCAGTTTTATCTTTCATGTTGGGAATTACAGCTCCCACCATATCTCATGCAAATGTCAGCATTTTTGTTGACGTGTTCATCAAGCTTTAAATAAAAACTGGTATATGTAAGCAAGTGAGG